AAAAATATAGTTGGATGTCATCTGCATATATGTGGGAATGTTCCCCATGTCTGCGGATGACATCCCCAAGAGGGAGCATGTGGATCAGAAAGAGGAGCGGCCAAGGATGGATCCTTGGAGTACCCGCAGGTGACCGGGTGAGAGCGGGAGGAGAAGCCGTTTGTGCAGATGTACTGCTGGCGGTTTGTGAGGTAGGACTCGAACCCGGTGAGTGCGGTCCCACTGAGGTGGATGTCGGAGAAAAGGCGGTGGAGGAGGATGGCGTGATCGGCTGTGTCGAACGCGGCGGAGAGGTCCAGGAGGACAAGGAGGCAGAGGGAGCCCCGGTCACAGATAGAGAGGATGTCGTTTGTGACGTTCACAAGCGCAGTCTCTGTACTGTGGGTGGAAACCGGACTGGAGGGGTCCGAGGAGGGAGTGGGAGGAGAGGTGTGCGTGGAGTTGGTTGGCAACAACGCGTTCTAGGACATTTGAGAGGAAGGGCAGGTTAGAAAGAGGACGGTAATGGCTGGGGTTCGAGTTGATGTCAACAGTTTTGAGGGAGGCAGGGACTGATCCAGAGGAGAGGGACTGGTTGATGACGTCAGCCAGTAGTGGGCAGAGGAGGGGGAGCTGGGTGACCAGCAAGCTGGTGGGGAGGGGGTCAAGGCAGCAGGTGGTAGGTTCCATGGAGGTGATGGTGGGTGAGAGGGAGGAGGGAGAGATGGGGAGGAAGCAATGTAAAATGTGGGTGGTGGTAGGAGCAGATGATGAGGAAGGTGAGGGGCACTGAGAGGGAGAGGTGTTGGGTGACAAGGGGCAGGTGGATGAGGCTGCCTGGGGGATGTTAATTACCCTTCACACAGGGTAGAGTCTCAGTGACTTAACTGTTAAGTCCGAAGAAGAAGGTCGTCAGTCGTGATCTAAAAGAGGGGAAGGAAGGGACGAGGCAGAGGAATCGAGGGAGAGAGCCCCAAAGCTTCGGGGCGTTGTGGCTGAAAGCACGGCTGCCGATGGTGGAGTGGAGGGTGTGAGGGACAAGCAGGAGGCCGGAGCCAGCCGACCGAGCAGAGGCAGCAGGTAGCAGAATGGGGAGAAAGCAGGTCAGAAAGGTCGGGAGGTGCCAGGGCATGAAGGGACCTGTGGACGAGTGAGAGGATCTGGAAGTCTTTTTGTTCTACGACAGGGAGCCCGAGGTGAGGAAACAAGTAAGGTTTATGTACAATAACCATCCGTGCCCTTTACAAAGACAGAAAGGCGAATGCGCTTAAAAAGGAAGAGTTCATGAAATTCTGCGTCTGTTCCAAAAAATATATATTTGAGTGTTTTTGACAAGCTCCATGGATCAGAGTAAGTTTATTAGAATCACGCTGAGCTGTGTGAGCGAACTGGAGACTTAATTTATTTAATGAGAGCGGCTGCTAGCAATCTGCGCACAGCAATGTCCCATAAACAACATGGAGTCAGTGACCAATCTTATCCAGGGAACTGTCAGCTAGAAAATCCCTTCTCTTTTCAAGCAGTGCCATTGGAGTCACACAGTCTAAGATGACCCTCCAACACAGTACTGGGGGGTGGTGGGGTGTTGCATTCTCGGAGGTGCCGTCCTTCGCATGAGGCGTTGAAGGATCAGAAAACGAAATAAATAATTTTTATAATAATAATAATAAATCGCGATTTCCAAATCCTTTGTAAAATAATAAATTTGGTCACTCAATCCACGACTGTTTGTTGGACACTGCCGTGCGCAATTGGCTGCTGTGTTTTGCCCATAAACTGTACGGTCAATTCACTTTCCGGTATATTCTGTGAAGAGCTTCGAGACGTCTTGAAGATGTGATAAGGTGCTATATCAAATGTAAGGATTATTATTAATGCTGCACTGGTCAGCCAGTTTACACCATGTGATTTGCCATGTCCCTGGGTGTGAGGTTTGAACCCACAACCTTCTGGGTCAGAGTCAGAAGGCGAGAGTGCTATTGACTGACATAGTTTGGCACGTAAATAGTGGCTACACTTCGGTGAGTGCCTGCAAAGTACTTTTCAGCATGAGAAGGCACCATAAAAACACAAGTTTCTTCGCTTACTCACTGCGTAGATGTGAATGAGGAACAACAAAGTTCTTGGATCACTTAACAAGCAACAGATAGATGCTTACTCTAGTTGGAACACCTTGTGTCTATACCAATGCCTTTGCTCACTGACCTCGTAGCCACGGGGATCTTCATTCTAAATTTCACCTCAAAGGCTTTGATCTATCTGTTCGATTCATAAAGTATCATTGCTGTCCAGGTGAAAACAACGGGGAGTAAGGCTGGAGCAATGTCATCAAAGCCTTTAACTGGGAACAGGACACAGTCACTGGGGAAGGAGTGGACTTGAGTGTCCATTAATAATAATAGTCCTGCATTTGATTTAGCATTTTATCACTTCATTGAGACAATTCACAGAACATATTGTAAAGTGTTTTGACTGTATATTTTATGGGCGAAACATGGCAGCCAATTGCGCACAGCAGCGTCCCACAAACAGTCATGGAATGAAGTGACCAATTTTTTATTGTTTATTTTTCTTGAGGGTTTATTATCAGGCGTGTGGAGTGAGGAAACTTGCCCAAGGTTTCGCCCCGCCGGGAATCGAACCCAGGTCTTTCGCTTGCAAAGCGAGTGCTCTCACCACTGAGCTACAGGACTCCACAAATCTCTGACCTGATTACTCCCCAACCCACTACCTGCTGCCTCTGCTCGACCTGCTCCGGCCTCCTGCTCGTCCCTCCGTTACATCATTGACAGTTTGACCTATGGTTTGAGGAGGTCACATCCTTCAACCCATAATAATAAGCCTTGCATTTGATATAGCACCTTATCACGCTGTTGAGATGTCTCAAAGCGCTTCGCAGGATATATTGCAAAGTGGGTATTTTGTGGGAGAAACATGGCTGCCAATTGCACACAGTAGGGTCCCACAAACAGCCGTGGATTGAGTGATTAAACTATTATTTTTGCGGGGCAGGGATTATTACCCCGGAAAGCGATCCAGTTTTACCCCACCTGGGATATGAACGCAGGTCCTCTCGTTTGCGAGGTGAGCGTGATAACCAATACGCTTCACAAGACTTCACGTGGCATATGGCAAGACACTCAAGAAAGTGTATCTTGTTGGCCAACTTTAACCATTGGGGTGACATTGAAGTGTAGCACTACAAAAAGGTACCCTGTATCTCATTGCCATCGAGTGACTGAGACAACCTCCTGCTTGAGTACAGTAAAAGCTTCTCAACCGAGATAACTTTTGGGTTTCTGCGGTGTGGGACCTGTTGTAAAAGTCCTATGCCTCCTGGTCCAGCTCTTGAGATTGGCAAAGTAAAAACGAAACACTAAAAAATGTTATTGAGGTTTTTTTAGGTGAAAATATATTTCCACATGCAGCCAGGCTCAATCCATCCCCTCCTCAATCAGAAGGAATTGGGTTCATAACAAAGGTTCCGGGTGAAACCTCACGTTGATATTGGCTCAGAGACGGGCAAATAGCAGAACAGTGACCTATCATCTCAAGCTGGTCTTTGATTCAAGTTTTGGACGAACGCTGATATCAAAGGTTTTCCTCTCACAAATCCTGATTTATATTCTTCTGCCATCCAGACTTGATCCAGGTGTTAGCTTGGCTCTCTGAGTAACGCTCCTGCTCATGAGTCAGAAGATTGTAGGATTAAGTTCCTCTATCTCCCTCCCACCCCCTCCCCACCTCCGACGCCGTAGAATTTGAGCTCACAGTCGAGGCAGATGTTTTAACTTGGTGCTGAAAGGAGGGAGGCTGGTAACCGGGACGGTGAAGTGCTTTGAGACGTCTCGAAAACATGATAAGGCGCTGTACCAAATGCAAGGACTGTTGTTCGAAAAACAGAAAGGAGTTTCTTGCATTTGATATCAATCCTCCTCACATCGTTGAGAAGTCTCAAAGAGCTTCACAGAAAATACTGTAAAGTGAATTGATTATATACTTTGAGGGCAGCCAATTACCCACACAGCGAGAGAGAGGGGGAGAAAGAGAGAAACAATACTTTTATTGGGCATGGATTGAAGTGGATGGAAGTGACCAATTTTACTATTTTGTTTTGAAGGAGTTATTACCCTTGGAAAAGCGTTCGGCCAATCGACTAACATCTGGATTACTCCTACTTACTGCTAGGTAAACGGAGGCATGTGGAGTAAGGAAACTTGCCCAAAGTTTTGCAATTGCCCTGGAATCGAACCCAGGTCTCTCGCTTGCGAGGCGAGTACGCTAAGCCACAGGACTCCACATTCGGTTGTTAACTTCACGGCTTTTTGTGGAACATTACTGCGTGCAAATTGAGATAGTTCAAAGTCAACAGAAAGTCTGTGAAGCATTTCCTTGTGTCAGTGTTCAATGCTGTGTTCATCTCCACAGCATGTTTCCGGACAGATTTCCTATTTGATGTCTTTTCAGTGCGAAACCCAATCCCTTTACAAACTTTCCCTTGCGCCCAATAAAAGTATTCTTTCTCTCTCTCTCTCTCTCTCTCTCTGTTTGACGTTAATCGTTAATGCTGTTACTCTGACACCAAGCTGAAGCCTGGCATTTATCGGCAGGTGTCTGCGTGTGTATGTGTGTGTGCTGGAGTTGGGTTAAGAGCCAATGTGGGTCGGTTATTTGCAGTTATTTCCAGCTAAGGTTACTAAGGGAGGGACTGCGAGACACGAGAAAGGATTAAGGGAAGAGAGAGAGAAAGAGAGAGAGAAAGAGAGAGAGAGAGAGTGTGTTTCAACAGCTTGCATGTATTTCTCCCTGGATATATAAGCACTAAGTTTATATTCAGTTCATGCGCACAACACACACACAGACACACACACACACACACACGCACATGCACGGATGGAGTGTTAAGACACTCCTCTCTCAAGAAGCGCCACAGTCTCTCCCCCGCCTCTCTGTCAGGACAATATATGTTCTCCAGGTGCATGTTTGCCTTTTAATTCCGCCTCTTGGGGAATCGTTTGTAAATGGAGCTCTTCCTGATCTGCTCACTAGTGAGCACCATCATGTCCGTGCTGGTCAGAGAAGGTGAGTGGCCGGAACTTGTAGGGTTTAAAGCTTTAACGATGCTTAAGACCAGGTCTTTATTTTTCTCTTTGCCAACACGTGTGTGTGTGTGTGTGTGCGTTTCTGTGCGTATACATGTGTGTGTGTGTGTCTGTGTGTGTGTGTGCTCTCTTCTCTGTGTGTGAGTGAGTGTGTGTGTGTCTGTGTGCTCTTGTGTGTGTGCGTGTGAGTGTGTGTGTGTGTGCGCGCTCTTGTGTGTGTGTGTTCTTGTGTGTATATATGTGTGTGTCTGTGTGTGAGTGTGTGCGTGAGTGCGTGTGCCTGTGGTGTGTACGGTCTTGTGAATGTGTGCGCGCTCATTTGTGTGTGGACATCCAGCGCCTTGGGATGTCCTCCCGACATGAAAGGCACAACAACAACAAAATTACTGCCTTTCACCTCGGGAGGACGTCCCAAGGTGCTGGACAGTCAGTGTTTCGGACCCGAGCTGGGGGTTGGGATCGGGGAGGGTGGAAGGAGGGAGATCAAAGGCACTGTCGAAGAGGAGGATCTTGAGACGGCTCTTAAAGGGGGCAAGGGACGGGGCAAGATGGAGGGACTGCGGGATGTCATTTGTTGTAGTTGTTTTGGGATTTCGTATTTGTGTGTGGTTTGTAATTGGATTTGTGTGATTGTTTTTGGTTGCACATTTACATGTGTGTTTCCCCTTGTACAGTTGTGTGTGCGTTTTTGTGTGTATTTGCGTGTGTGTGTTTGTGTGTGTATTTGCGTGTGTGTGTTTGTGTGTATTTGTGTGTGTGTGTGTGTTTGTGTGTGTATTTGCGTGTCTGCGTGAAAGCGTTTGTGTGTTCGTGTCCGCGCAACTGAGTGTTTGCATTTGTACACGAGTGTGAATGAGTATGAGAGTACGAGTACCAGTGCGTGTATGTATGTGACTGTGGGAGTGTGAGTGAGGGCGCGAGCGTGTGAGTGAGCGTGAGTGTGGGAGTATGTAGTGACTGTGAGTGTGCGAGTATGTGTGTGTGTGTGTGTGTGTGGTTGTGAGTGTGAGAGTGAGTGACTGAGAGTGTGAGCGAGCGTGAGTTGAGACCAGAGTGAGTGTACCGGGGCAAACGGGAAAACAAAAGTGTGAACGAGTGGCAGGACTTGGAGAGTGTGACGTTGTGTAAAAAGCTCTCATTTACCGGCGAGAATGACAAAATCTCATTGCTTGAAGGTTCAAGTGAACGGCGAACAATTAAGTGGGGGAATGTGTGTGCTGGTGGGGGGGTGAGGAGCAGGGCCGGGGGGCTGGGGGTGGGGTTGGGGAAGAGTGTCATTCATTTTATTTCGGCTCGCTCGCCTGACACCTCTGATTTCAAGTGTCAACAGGTTCATCCTCTCCTTTATTTTACGTTGATGCTGCATTTGTAACATCAAAGTGGTCTCTGAGAGTGGGAACCACACCCTTCCCATCTGCGGCTCAGCACCGCTCACTTTCCTGATGTTATTATAATAATAATAATAATAATAATAATAATAATAATAATAATAACAATCCTTGAGTTTGATATAGTGCCTTATCACGTCTCAAAGCCCTGCACAGAATATATTGCAGAGTGAATTGGTTGACTGAGTATTTTGCGGGTGAAACACGGCAGCTGATTAAGTCCCACAAACAGCCCGTGGATTGAATGACCGATTTATTTATCCATCGATTGATTTTCGAGGGATATATTTCCTACCAACTGCTGAGTACACAGAGGCCTGTGCAGTAGGGAAACTTGCCTAAGGTTTTGCCCTGGCCGGGAATCAAACCCGGGTCCTCTCGCTTGCGAGGCGAGTGAGTTAACAACTCCGCTTCGGAACTCCGCACGTAATGGCTGGAGGGTGGGGTTGGGGTGAATGGTGAGGAGCTTGACCCAGCCCTGTGGTCCCGCTCGCACTGAGGGCGAAGACCTGTGTGATCGAGTTTCTGTAACAGGTGAAATGCCTCCATTGTAATGTCGCTGGCGATCGCGGGTCACAGAGCAAGGCTTAACTCCCTGTGTCATCGCCTGCTGCTTAGGTCAGGACACCCATTTCTCCCCTTAAACTCTCTGTACAACTTGCCTTTCACCACCGATGCACCAGGCTCCGCACACAAACCCAACCCACCCCACCCCTTCCCCGCCACCCCCTCACTCTCTCTCTCTCTCTCTCTTTCTCCCTACCATTCTCTCGCCTCGCAAGCGAGAGGACCCGGGTTCGATTCCCGGGCCGGGAGAAACCTTAGGCAGGTTTCCCTACTCCGCTCGTCTCTGTTTACCCGACAGTGAGTAGGAACCCGGTTGTTAGTTGATTGGCGGATTGCTCTTCCGGGGGTAATAATTCCTTCAAAATAAAATTCAAAAAAATAATAATAATTCGGTCACTCAATCCACGACTGTTTGTGGGGACGCCGCTGTGCGCAATTGGCTGCCGCGTTTCGCCCACAAAATATACAGTCAATTCACTTTACAGTATATCCTGTGAAGCGCTTTGAGACGTCTCAGAGATGTGATCAGGCGCTGCATCAAATGCAAGAATTATTATTATTATTCTCTGTCATGTTCTTTCTCACACTCCTTCTCTGTTGCACTTTCTTGCTTTTGTTGCTCTCTTCTTTGTGTCTCACATTTCTCTCTCTTTCTTCTCTCATGCTCGCTCCCTCCCTCTCTTTCTCTCTCTCTCTCTCTCTCTCTCTCACACTGTTTGTCACATTCCCTCTCTGTTGCCCCTTCTGATTTTCTGTCTCACGTTTCTCTCTTTCTCTCTCTATGCTCTCGTCCTCCCTCCCTCCCTCTCCCTCCCTCTCTCTCTCTCTCTCTCTCACTCTTTGTCACACTCCCTCTCTATCATTAACAAAATGCAAAATACTACAGATGCTGGAAATCTGAAAACAAAAACAGACGTCGCTGGGAACACTCGGCAGGTCAGGTAGCATCTATGGAGAAAGCATAGATGCTTTCACTGTTTCTCCTTTCTCCATAGATGCTGCCTGACCTGCCGAGTGTTCCCAGCGACGTCTGTTTTTGCCCCCTCTGTCATTGTTTGTCTGATGCAAACCACGTGTAAAGTTCCTACGTGTAATGTGTCATGTGTAAACCGTGTCGGAGCTCTTAAACTGCTTAACACTGCTGGTTGGGCACCCAAGCTGTTCTTTTGGGGGTCAGCCGGGTGTCTGACACATGCAGAAACCCATCACCATACACAAACGTGTCTAAACCGAGCTGAGAATTCCATGGCTCCCACCTACACATGGAAATCCCAGAGAGAGATTGTTGGATTGGAATGCGCTCTCTCTCCCTGGAGGAAGACATCCTGCTTACCTAATTCCGGAGAGTATTAAGCACAGGTTGGCAAGAGCCAAGGCTTGGGGATCCCAGAGTGTGCGTTGGGGGTAACTGCTGGAGTCTAACCGGATAAAACTGCATAGCTTGCCATTGATATCGCTGTCTGGCAAGCTTTCCCGCTGCTTGTCCAGCGAGGACCACTCTACCCATTAGGGCTTTGGCTTGCAGGGTTAACAGGAGCTGAGTGGGATTCCCTGTCCCCAGTGACTGGTGAACCCGAGCTGTGAGGGGAGGGGAGCGTGGAAGATGATCAAAACGCGGTTAAACAGAAAGTTCTTGGGATGAACGAGGGGAGGGAGAGAGGGAGGGAGTGAGCCAGAGGGACTCTGGGACAGAGCTCCAGAGAGTGCGGGCAGAATGGCTGAAAGCCCGACGACCAGTGATGGTGAGGGGGATAAGGACATGAAGCTGACAAGTGCTCGCAGAGTGAAAGGAGTGACCGGGTCGGTAGGGTTGATGGAAGCGGGGTTGATGTGCAAAGGCGGGATATTTTCTCAGCCTCACGGTTGGTTTGAAACAAGAACATCACCAGAATTCTGAGGGATGAGGGACTTCAGTGGAGAGACTAGAGAAGCTGGGATCATTCTCCTTAGTGCAGAGAAGGTTGTTGGAAAATTTAATGGAGTTGAGAGTTTGGGATCAGGGAAGGTGGAGAGGTAGGAGGGTGGCCGAAGAGTGGGGGGGTCTTGAGACGGGTCCTGAAGGAGGCAAGGGAGGGAGCAGGCATAGGTACGAATGCCCGAATGGCCTCCTTCTCTGCTATAAGATTCTATGGTTCTACGACTCTGAGCTGAGTGCTGAAGCTGTGTGGTTGGCTGGGTTGCAGGTAGTTCGGGGAGTCTGGCTGAAACCTTACCTGGGGAGCGTCACAGCCACCAGGAAGGGCCGGTGCTGGCAGTGACGGGGAGACGCAGAGAGAGGCGATGTTCCTGTACCAACATGCAGGACACCGAGTGTGTCTACTTCTGCCATGTGGGCATTGTGTGGGTCAACACACCAGGGTAAGTGCTCAACAACAACAACACTGTGGGTCAAGGGACCAGGGTAAGTGGTTAGAGCACTCGCCTCGCAAGCGAGAGGACCTGAGTTCGATTCCAAGGCAGGGCGAAACCTTAGGCAATTGGCATTTCTCCCATGGGATGTGCCTTCAATTCAATTTCAGTACATCTCACTATGTCAAATGGAAGGATTATTATTATTAATATAATTGCTCAATTACAACAGCATAACCACAAACCAGGGTAAGTACTCGAACACACAGACGTTGGCATTTCTCTCTCCCAAACCCAACCCCGCAGCAAGGCCACTGTATCAAACAATATTAATGATCCTTGCATTTGATATAGTGCCGGATCAAGGCTTTGACCCGTCTGGGAAACAAACCGGGATCGTCTCGCTTGTGAGGCTAGCGTGCTAAACACTACGCTTTAACAATAATGCTCACAATGGAGGCAACACGCTATCGTGTCACGATAAGACAAGAGAGAAAGGGAGGGGAAACAAGAGCAGATGACTCAGAGTCGGCCTCGTAGAGATGTACCACATTTTAAATGGGTTTACAACCTGTGTTTTGTGGGCGAAACGCAGCGGTCAATTGCGCACAGCAGCTTCCCACAAACAGTCGTCGATTAAGTGACCAAATTGTTATTATTTTTTTAAGGAATTATTATCCCTGGAAAAGCGATCTGCCAATCGACGAACAACCGGTTCCTACTTACACTGCTAGGCAAACAGAGGCGTGTGGAGTTAGGAAACTTGCTTAAGGTTTCAGCCCAACTGGGAATTGAACCCAGATCCTCTCGCTTGCGAGGCGAATGCATTAACCGCTATGCTATAGAACTCCATAAAATAATAATAATAATCCCTGCATTTGATGCCTTATCACGTCGGTTGAGACACGTCAAAGCGCTTCGCAGAATATACTGTAATTCAGATTGAACGTGTATTTTGTGGGCGAAGATTAAGGTCCATCTAATTCGCCTTCCACTTCCCTGGTGGTCACATGCACATATATCCCAAACTCTCTATGTGCTACATCCCATAATATTATTTCCTAAAAGAAAACAAAATCTAATCTGTGTTTGAAGGAATCAACACTTCCTGCTTCAACCGTCTCCCTAGGGAGCCTGTTCCACAGGTTCATTATTTGCCCACTGAAATAGTGTTTGCATAGATTTGTTTAGAATTTACCCCCCCCCCCCCGCCCAACCCCCCCTACCCACACAGCAATGTCCCAGTGAATAACCGGCTTTACCTGGGGGATAGTTGACCAGGAGAAAGGGAGAAACTCCCTCCTCTTTTAGAGTAGTGCCCCAGGATCTTTAGCGTCAGGGCCTTGGTTTGAGGTTTCATCTGAAGAAAGGCACCTCCGGCAGCGCAGAACATTGAGACATCATCGAGATGTCCGAAAGAAATTCACTGAATACACTAAAGTGAATTGATTATATTTTGTGGGCAAAGCGTAGCAGCCAATTGAGCACAGCAATGTCCCACAAACAGTTGGGGATTGAGTGACCACGTTATTTGATTATTTATTTTATATATTTTTTTGAAGGGATTATTACTCCCAGAAAGCGATCTGCCAATCACCTAACAACTGGGTTCCTGCTTAAACACTGGGTAAACAGAGGTGTGTGGAGTAATAATAGCAATATAATAATAATCCTTGCGTTTGATATAGCGCCTTATCACGTCCTCGAGACGTCTCAAAGCTCTTCACAGAATCGACTGTAAAGTATATATCTCGTGGGCAAAACATGGAAGCCAAGGAAACTTGCCTCAGCTTTTGCCTCGGGAATCGGTGAGGGGTGGGGCTGTTGTGGGGGGATGTCAGGTGTCAAAGGAACACAGTGTTCTGAAAGAAGTCAGATTGATGGCTTAATTTGCTTCCAGGAGCCCTTAAGGAACGCGCTGAGAATTCTGGATGAAATGTTTGAGGAATGTAACCACAGCTCGAGCAGGTTGTTCAACTTGGTTCAGCCGGCAGGGCTCTCGTCTCCGGGTCAGAAGGTTATGGGTTCAACCCCCACCGCCTCCCTGCCCCCCACCATCACCCATACCCTCCCTCGTTCCCTCCTCTCGTTTCGGAGTTTCGGGGAAAAGCCCTCTGAACCATGGCGGAGACCTGTTTGCACACAGGTCTGTATCCCACGAGCTTCACTTCCATTGGGCTCTCCCTGTCCTTCGAGAGAGATTAATAATAACAACAATAATCCTTGGATTTGATACAGCGCCTCATCAAGTCGTTGAGACGTCTCTCAAAGCATTTCACAGAATCTATTGTAAAGTTGATTGACTGCGTATTTGTGGGGAAAACTCGGCAGCCAATTGCGCACAGCAGCGTCCCACAAACAGTCTTGGATTGAGTGACTTTTTTTCGCGAGGGTTATTACCCCTAGAAAGCGATCCACCAATCGACTCACAACCGGATTTCTACTTACCGTTACGCAAACGGGGAGTGTGGAGTAAGGAAACTTGCCTAAGGTTTTGCCCTGCCCGGGAATCAAACCCGGATCCTCTCGCTCGTGAGGCGAGCGTGCTAAACACTACGCTACGGGACTTTAACAATAATGCTCACAATTGAGGCAACACATTATCATGTCACGAGAAGACGAGAGAAAGAGAGGTGAAACAAGAAAAGATGACTCCGAGTGGGTCTTGTAGAGATGTACAACATTTTAAATGTGGTTCCAATATGTGTTTTGTGGGCGAAACGCGGCGGCCAATTGCGCACGGCAGTGCCCCACAAAGAGTCGTGGATTGAGTGACCCAATTTTTTTTTTTTTTTAAGGAATTTTTATCCCCGGAAAAGCAATCTGCCAATCGACTAACAACCGGGTTCCTACTTACTGCTAGGCAAACAGGGGCGTGGAGTAAGGAAAGTTACCCAACGGTTCACCTTGCCCGGGAATTGAACCCGGGACCTCTCACTTACGAGGCGAATGCTCTAACCACTAAGATGCATAACTCCACAGGAGTGTTACTGCACATGTCTGACCGAACAACATTGGTCTTGCACTTCATAGTTGATGTGTGTGTGTGTGTGTGTATAAAATTGGCCGTCGTGTTCACCCACACAGCCAACAGTCACTGCACTGTACGGCATATCCTGTGAAGCGCTTTGAGACGTCCTCCTGGTGAAAGACTACATCAAATGCAAGGATTATTATTATTTTGGGTTGAGGAATTTACGAGGAGGATCCTTATAACACTGAGCGAGAGGACCTGGTTTAGATTCATGGGCAGGGCGAAACCTAAGGCAAGTTTCCTTACTCCGCACGCCTCTGTTTACCAAGCAGTAAGAAGGAAACTGATTGTTAGTCAATTGGTGGAACACTTTCTGGGGGTAACAATCCCTTCCAAAATAAAATAAAATAAATAATAATTTGGTCACTCAATCCACAACTGTTTGAGACATCTCAAAGACGTGATAAGGTGCTTTATCGAGGATTATTATTATTATTATTATTATTACATTTGATATAGTGCCTTATCAAGTGGTTGAAACGACTCAAAATGCTTCACAAAATATATTGTAAAGTTGATTGTGTATTTTGTGGGCAAAACAGAGCTGTGTCAAATGCAAGAATCATTATTATTTTTATAATATAGAGAAGGTATCATTGAGGTAGAATTGTGCCCCAGTCCAGGCTGACTGTTGACTTAAACACTATAGAACTTAGAAAACACAGCTGTGGAATTCAGGCTTACCTTTCAAGCCTGTTTCTCAGAAGAAACAGCAAACAGGGCTTCAAAGGAAAAATCTATCAAATTCTCGACACTCTGAAACATCACATGAATAGAGTAAATGTGGAGTCAGATGGCGGGAGCAGAGATTGATTGAATTAGAGAAGTGCAGCAAAAGGTCTTGCAAGTCGTGTCTTTCACTGCAAGGTGCCTCACCTGAGAAGTAAGGCTGGCTGCTGGCTTCACTCCGACTAGGACAAGATAACCACCGGAATCCACGGCACAGAGGAGGTCCATCGTGTCCGTGCCAGCTGTAAACACTGTAGTTTACCTAATAATAATGATAATCCCTGCATTTGTTATCGCGCCTTATCACATTGTCGAGACGTCTCAAAGCGCTTCACAGAATATACTCTAAAGTAAATTGACTGTGTATTTTGGGGGCGAAACCCGGCAGCCAATTGCACAAGGCAATGTCCCACAAATAGTCGTGGACTGAGTAACCGCACTATTTTTTTTGAAGGAATTATTACCCCCAGAAAGTGATCCGCCAATCGACTAGCAACTTGGTTCCTATTTACTATTAGGTAAACAGAGGCGTGTGGAGTAAGGAAACTTGCCTAAGGTTTCGCCCTGCCTGGGAATCGAACCTGGGTCCTCTCGCTTGCGAGGCAAACCCTCTAACCACTGGGCTATAGGACTCCACGTTGCTTCATCTATACCTATTCCATCTCATTCTCCCTCTTTCCTCCTCCCACCCCGATCAATATTATGCTGTCTCGGCTAATGTTCGGCCTGGGATTTGCAAAAGGTAATTGAAAGCAGATGTGAGACGTACATTCATCTGAGGAATTCTCGCTCAGGATCCCTGTCTGATGGGGGATCAAAAAAGCTGTCAAGACACCTCAAGATGCCATATCTCTCTCTCTCTCTCTCTCTCTCTCATTTTTTGGTTGAAGTGATGGATTCTGTGGCTTAGGAGGGAGGAGGAGATGAGAGGGAGAGGGCAGAAAGAGGTCTGGGTTATCCAGCCAGAGAAATTGCGTGAAGGATAATAATAATAATAATATTAATAATCCTTGTATTTGACATAGTGCCTTATCACTTTGTTGAGACGTCTCAAAGTGCTTCACAAAATAACTGTAAAGTGGAGTGACTGCATTTTGTGGGCGAAAGATTGATGGAGAAAAATCATCTTTCGTGTGGGTTGCAGATCCTGATTCATGGTCTTTGAGCTCACGACCCAGTCCAGTCCCATTCAGTCAACAGCAACAACAAATGGCATTTGTACAGCGCCTTTCACGTCTTGAGGACG